CTCTGGTGCAAATTACTGACCTCTGTCATCATTTTAAGTGGGGGAACTTGCACAATCGGTGGCTGACTAAATACTTTTTTGCCCCACTGTAGATTTACTAACCCTGCTCAAATTTGCGTAAATTCCCTGAACCCAACACTTGCTAGCACCCCGCTGAGATTTTCACAGGCCTTCAGCTCCATTGTTCTCCTGCTTTTGTTGTGCAAACACACCCTCCCCCAACCCCCAACCAGGAGAGATTCATAAGGTCTTTCCTTGCACACAGTAGTTACACCCTATAGTGCATCCTCCAAAGAGAAAATGGCAAATAACAAAGTTTTACAGCTTACAGTACAATGTCAATCATATATATTTCACCTCCATACTATTCTCATTTTATAATTGAGCTATTTGTATATATATTAGAGCTATTTCCTATATTTTGCAAACTTTGTAGTTCAGTCTGCTACTGTTCTTATTGTCTTGTAGCGACTGTAACCACATAATTTCCTTAGGGATTAAAGAATTTTTCTAATTCTGATTTCATTTACTGCAGTGTAATAAAACAGACTGTGGCTCAAATCAGTATAGCATTTCTTACAAGGAGATTTAGAGTATGCAGTTTTGTAACGTCATATCTGTGTAATATTCTCCAACAGAACCAGAGGAACCAGACCTCAGGATTGTGCTTGTTGGCAAAACCGGAGTTGGGAAAAGTGCATCAGGAAACACCATCCTAGGGAGAAAAGCTTTTCAATCTAAGGTATCCCTTGTTTCTCTGACATCAGAGTGTCAGAAAGAAATTGATCAGTTTAAGGGTCACATCCTGGCTGTAGTTGATACTCCAGGTCTGTTTGACACTAAGCTACCTGCAAAGCAGGTGAAGACAGAGATCGCTAAAGGCATCTCCTTTGCTGCTCCTGGTCCTCATGTGTTCCTGGTTGTGATGCAAATAACCAGAATCACAAAAGAAGATCATGAAACTGTGAAAATTCTTCAGGAGTTGTTTGGAGAAGAAGCAGCATGCTACACTATGGTCCTGTTTACTCATGGAGATGACCTGGAGGCAGATGGAGTCACCATAGAAGAATTAATCAAGAGAAATCCAGCTTTTCTTGACTTCATCCGTCAGTGTCATGGAGGATATCATGTTTTTAACAACAGAAGCACAGATTCCTCTCAAGTGAGTGAGCTGGTGACGAAGATCAACACCATGGTTCAAAACAATGTTGGAGGTTATTACACGAATGAAATGTTCAAACAGGCTGAGAGAGCCATCAGAGAAGAGATGGAACGACTGAAGAAAGAAAATCCAGAGATGGAGTCCAAAGAAGCAAGAAGACGTGCAGAGAGAAACAACTGGCTTATTCGAGGCACTCTAGCAATTATGGGAGCTGCTGCTGGAGCTACTATTGAAATAGGTGTTGGAGCAGCTGTTGGCAGTGTGGCAGGTCCAATAGGAGCTGCAGTGGGAGCTGCAGTGGGTCTTGTAGCTGGAACTGCAGCTGTGGCAGTGAAAAAGAAGGCGTGCAAAATACAGTAACAATAAGAGTCCGTTATCAGTTTAGGGAGAAGAATTATTGATTATTAATGATACACATCATGCAGGTAACATGTTATTGGGAGAAAACAGAAAACTAAGTCTTTCTTTACATCTTTAGTCAGTGTTATGAGAGGAAGCTGGAGTTCTAACCCTTGTGCTCTGTGTCCAGAAGAGATTCATAGGTTCGTTCAGATGAAGATCACATGAAGCAGAATAATACATACATACATACATGCATGCATAGTACAAAAAGGCAAAACTGTGTGCATCAAACATGTTAATAAATATAAAAATGCCAACTGAAAGTCTGTGTCTCACTTTTATTGTTCAACATGTTCCTGTTTTTTCTTATTTTAGCTGTTTACAGGAATACCGATTGTATGCTGATGTGGTTCATGCATATGTGTGTGTGCTGAAGTTCATTCTGCCTCCTCCTGATTTCCTGTGCTATTTTCAGGCTCAGACCTTAGGGTGGTGCTGGTGGGTCAGGAGAAAGTGGGGAAGAGCTCAGCAGGAAACACCATACTGGGAAAGAAGGAGTTTGACTGTACTATCAGTTTGAGCCCTCTGACTCTGAGCAGTAAGAAGACAGAAGCTGATGTTCTGGATCGTAGAGTCACTTTGGTCGACACCCCTGGACTCTTCAGCACTGAGCTGACTGCAAAGGAGGTGAAAGCAGAGCTGTTAAAAGCTCTCAAGCTGAGCTCTCCAGGTCCACACGTCTTCCTCCTTGTTATCCAGCTTGGAAGATTCACCCCACAGGAGCAGAAAGGGCTGAAAACCTTGCAGGAGATGTTGAATGATGACGTCTCCAAACATACCATGCTGCTGTTTACCTACGGAGATCGACTGGAAGACATCGACATGGAGCACTTCATCAGAGAGGACAAGAACCTGCAGCAGCTGCTGAGGAGCTGCAGCGGTGTATACCATGTATTCAACAACAAAGAAACCGGAGACAGGAGTCAGGTTCAGGTCCAGGAGCTGCTGGACAAGATAGACTCCATTTCAGAGGGTGGACACAGATACTATCAGAAAAAGTCAATGTCAGGGTGGTATAGCTATGTCAGGAGTTTCTGGCTCTTTAAAATAATTGGACAGATTTGTTCTTGGCTATCCACCATCATCAATAGGATTAGGTCAAGAGAGTGAGAGAAGAGTGGAGAAACATAGGAGGAGAAGAGCCTGAGGGATGTGAACACAAACTTGGGTTTAAGCTTAAGGTTGAGTGTTTACTCAGATTTTCATTATCCAATCAGAATCAGTCTGGGTTAGGTCTAACCCTAACCCTCCATACAGTGATTTATGAATACAGACAGACAGACAGTCACATTGTGTCATGTGTTTTTCTGTTCTAAGAATGAAATAAAGTCAACAAATTTTGTAAAGTGTCTTTTATAACAGAGTTTAAAAAAAGTAGTAATACGAGGGCGCTTTTGTTGCCTTCATAGATGTGCAAACATTATTAAATTTTGTTTATCAACCACTTTTGGTTTTCAGTGTGAATTTATACAAACAGGAATTACTTTTGTAAATGCAGGATCAAATTTCTTAATGGTGCTTTTTAGACAGTGACCTGAAAGATAAATGTTTGTGTGAGAAGCAGGTTTGCTGGATTTGTTTTTAACTTGATGAAACATAGTGTAAAACTTTTTTCTTAATTCAGTATTTTTACAGGTTTGAACTGTGTGGTCTTTCTGGGAAATGTAGGCCAACTTGTGAAATGAGAGCGTGCACCGCTCTTCAGAACTGCCAGCATTGCTCGTTTCATGTGTCCTCTGTTGATAAAACTGATATTTTACTTCAAGTTTAAAGACAATAGCGAGGTACTGACCTGTGTGTCTCTTTAAACTTTAAATGTTAAATTCTAACGCTACATATTATCTTGCACTGAGTCTGCTTGGCATATGCTATGTATAAAGGCTCTGGACCTTTCCAAAATGACGTAGAGGCTGCTTTAGCGTGATTAATTTATTACAATTTCAGTTTCTGGGAAGTTTTCAGTTGTCCCTCCTGTGTCTATGAACAGTATGGCTGGTGGAAGCTTTTTGTTTATTTGTGAAACTGAGCATGGTTGTGGACAATTCCAACTGCACTATTTGATTTAAGTTTCATGTTGGATCCCTTTCTTTAATTGTTAATTCTCTGCAAGCAGTGAAGACCCAAACTAGGACTTGCAATTTTTGCCGTGCCCCAGTGGACAGTGCGAGGTTGTGCTGCAGAACCCAGCATGAAAGCTGAGGGACCAGCCAGCCGGTGGAAAGACCGGTTGATGCCTGGACATGCGTTGGAGCTGACTTTGCTACCCGCACAGAGTGTTTCTTACAATCGGGCGTTGCTTATCCGTAAGAGAAAAGCAACAAAACAGCGTGTTTCTCTGCTCCAAAACATCTGCAGTCCTTTCACACAGTAAGCATGTCTGTTATAGCCTGCGCTTCAGAAATGTCGGTCTGTCAGCGCTGATTATTCAAACTGTGTTTAAAACGTGACTCATTTGTTGTCCAAAAACATTTCCTCTAAATTTGCAAAGTTACTGATTTAAAGATATATATTTTTGAATTTTTAGTTGGATGTCAAACATATGATAGACTCTTGAGCATATTTATGTAGCTGAATTCATAATGGTGTAACCATGTTAAATAAAGGAGCCCAAATGTGCACCAATGCACTCTAATGCAAGCCTTTGAACTGTATGTTGATAAGTACATGAAGTGTATCTCTACCTGTATAGCTGAAAAGAGTCTGTATCCATAATTTGTGGCTCTACTCATTTGTTTTTTTAATGTGGCCCTTTTTTTCCCCCACGAACTGCAGATGATGAAATCCTCTTTATTTGAGAAAGTGTCCCTAAGCTACTGCGGCTCATACTTACTGAGTTCCCTAGGTACAGTGGGGCAAAAAAGTATTTAGTCAGCCACCGATTGTGCAAGTTCCCCCACTTAAGATGATGACAGAGGTCAGTAATTTGCACCAGAGGTACACTTCAACTGTGAGAGACAGAATGTGAAAAAAAAATTCATGAATTCACATGGTAGGATTTGTAAAGAATTTATTCGTAAATCAGGGTGGAAAATAAGTATTTGGTCACCTCAAACATGGAAAGTCTCTGGCTCTCACAGACCTGTAACGTCTTCTGTAAGAAGCTTTTCTGTCCCCCACTCGTTACCTGTATGAATGGCACCTGTTTGAACTCATCATCTGTATAAAAGACACCTGTCCACAGCCTCAAACAGTCAGACTCCAAACTCCGCCATGGCCAAGACCAAAGAGCTTTGGAAGGACACCAGGAAAAGTATTGTAGACCTGCACCAGACTGGGAAGAGTGAATCTACAATAGGCAAGCAGCTTGGTGTGAAAAAATCAACTGTGGGAGCAATCATCAGAAAATGGAAGACATACAAGACCACTGATAATCTCCCTCGATCTGGGGCTCCACGCAAGATCTCATCCCGTGGGGTCAAAATGATCATGAGAACGGTGAGCAAAGATCCCAGAACCACACGGGGGGACCTGGTGAATGACCTGCAGAGAGCTGGGACCAAAGTAACAAAGGTCACCATCAGTAACACACTACAACGGCAGGGAATCAAATCCCGCAGTGCCAGACGTGTTCCGCTGCTGAAGCCAGTGCATGTCCAGGCCCGTCTGAAGTTTGCCAGAGAGCACATGGATGATACAGCAGAGGATTGGGAGAATGTCATGTGGTCAGATGAAACCAAAGTAGAACTTTTTGGTATGAACTCAACTCGTCGTGTTTGGAGGAAGAAGAATACTGAGTTGCATCCCAAGAACACCATACCTACTGTGAAGCATGGGAGTGGAAACATCATGCTATGGGGCTGTTTTTCTGCCAAGGGCACAGGACGACTGATCCGTGTTAAGGACAGAATGAATGGGGCCATGTATCGTGAGATTTTGAGCCAAAACCTCCTTCCATCAGTGAGAACTTTGAAGATGAAACGAGACTGGGTCTTCCAACATGACAATGATCCAAAACACACCGCCCGGGCAACAAAGGAGTGGCTCCGTAAGAAGCATTTGAAAGTCCTGGAGTGGCCTAGCCAGTCTCCAGACCTCAACCCCATAGAAAATCTGTGGCGGGAGTTGAAAGTCCGTGTTGCTCGGCGACAGCCCCAAAACATCACTGCTCTCGAGAAGATCTGCATGGAGGAATGGGCCAAAATACCAGCTACTGTGTGTGCAAACCTGGTAAAGACCTATAGTAAACGTTTGACCTCTGTTATTGCCAACAAAGGTTATGTTACAAAGTATTGAGTTGTATTTTTGTTATTGACCAAATACTTATTTTCCACCCTGATTTACCAATAAATTCTTTACAAATCCTACCATGTGGATTCATGGATTTTTTTTTCACATTCTGTCTCTCACAGTTGAAGTGTACCTCTGGTGCAAATTACTGACCTCTGTCATCATTTTAAGTGGGGGAACTTGCACAATCGGTGGCTGACTAAATACTTTTTTGCCCCACTGTACTTCTTTACTATGTCAGTAAACCTTTTGAACAAGAAAGGTATGGTAGATTTAAAGACACATGTTAATTAAAGCAAAGGCAAAAAAATGGAATGAATTTTATGTAACTGTTCATATTAAATAGAACAAAGAGTGAAAATCCAAAAGCCGCTGCAATGCTTTTCATTAATGATCTCTCTCTCTCTCTCTCTCTCTCTCTCTCTGTGTGTGTGTGTGAGTGTGCGCAATGCTGCATGTGCTACATGTGAGTGTGTGTGTGTCTGTGTGTGTGCGCGTGCTCGCACAAGGAAGGTCATGGCAGGAGGTTATTTGAATGCATTTCCAATCAGCTTTTCTTTTTTTTTCTTTTTTTTTTACAAAAAGTATAGCTGATACATTGGAATAAACATTTTCTTTTCGATACTTTATGACTATGAAACTAAAGATTTTGAGTTCATGCACATTGTGAAACAAGAATCTAAATATTTGTGTCACAATGATTTCTCTAAAAACATGTTGTTTATGGGGATAATGTGACGAATCTTTTGTTGTCCGTATTAATGTTCAATGGTGATTGAAGAGGAAGCTTAAACCCTGGCTCTGGACATTTTTATGACAAGTGACAGCACAGACATCTGCTAACGAGAGAACATGTTTTATCATCATAAAGACTGTGATATGAAGCATTGTTAAAGTGTCATGTGGAAAATATATATTATGTAGCAGTATTTCAGTAAGTGTCATCGTTATCCAGAAGCTAATAAATGTGCAAATCATAGGGCATTAAAAGAAGTAGTCTGCTTGTAACTGCATACGTGCCTGTAGAAGGTGAAATTAGAACAGAATGTACTCAGGATGTGAAACTTACGATCATGGGGCCTCATAACGAGAAAACAGGAAACAGGTGTGGGTGAAAGAGTGTTGAAACCGTTAGTGTGTTATACATACCCATACCATAAAAGGGGTTGCAGCTAAATGTCACTGATGCATGATAATATGCCTACGCATATTGGGCCTGTACAACCCTTTACGTAGTGAAGCTTGTGTATTTCCTCTGAGAGCTCTCAGATTGCGCTCTGGGTGGTATTATGTACATCTCCCGCATATGTGCTTAATAAATCATTGTTGTTCGCTGGACCTGTTCTGAGTATTGGTGGTTTGTTCTCAGACCAACATAAAAGAATAGGGACAGTCACTTCATTAATGCTGCTGGGGGAATGAAGTGTTGACTCATGTCTTTTAATAGATGACTCTCTTTCTCTCTCTTTCCCTCTCGCTCTGTTCCTGTGCTACTGCGAATGTAACTACCACACGTCCGCCCTCTGCTCAGCGCAAGCACAAGGCTCACATCCGGAGTGAAACGAAAAAAGGGTGAGACAGAGGGTGAGAGAAAGAAGAAAAAAACACGGCTCCCGAAAAGGAGCTGGCTCGCGTCGTTCACATCAAAGAGTCGGCTCTAAGAGCCATTTTGTTCGCGACCGACACATCACTAAGGCACACACAAGACGGAGGAAGTGAGTAAGTGACTGTGTTGGAATGATGTTTTAGTGCACTGATTTAGTTTAGACAAAGAAAAATGCACATTCACCAGCTCATGCGCGATTCATTTTCAGTTTGTATGCGTAAGGGGGAACAAATCTACACAAAGGCAGAGAGACAAAAGTAATACTGTGACATGAGCTAAGACTATGACTTGAACTGACGTTTGCTATGACTAGAATTGTGACTATTACTCAACAACAGGAAGGGCAGACGTCCTGACAACTGACACATGAGGAAACAGCGGACTAGAATGAACATAATGACGTACAGAAAAATGGGGGGGGGAATCAAATTTGGGAGTCCGGTCCCCGAAGGGGTTAGGTTTAGGCCCCAAATCACCTTTTGCATAGGGTCCACTGAGGTTAGGTTTAGGGCCAGTGCCTGGGGTGAGATGCTACTCAGAGACCCCTCACCAGAATCCTGACTGGGCCACATAAGACACAAAAAGAACAAAGGTAAGAACAATAAAAGCAA